TTAAATGTTCTTAAATAACATTGTTAAACTAACTTCTTAATTAATAATGTTATAATGGTTAACCTTGTTAACCTGTGATAAAGTTATTAGAAGTCAATTAAAATCAAAATTGTTTATACAATTTAGTCGTTTCAAAAACACTTAATTTGCTTAATTGCATCGTAATTTTAGCATTGGTTGGTTTGCATATTAGACCTATCTAAAAGCTGACGAGTTCTGTTCCACCATTTATCCAAAGAAATGGTGTATTTTGCAAATCAAGAAATTGTTATGTAAATGTTCTGATACCATAAAATTTGTAAAAATTAAAAAATAAAGAATAATTCACACACATATTTGAAAATGTGACAGTTAAGTTAGTTACTGTTTCTTTAAAAATACTACGCAGCTTCTCTAGACTTCCGCCCGAATGGCCTGTTGTTGTATCAAAAATTGTGCGATTACCACATGCTGGCGCCATATGACAAGATTTGGTAGGACTTAAATGTGGAAGGACCACAAAATGGGCAGTTCCGGGACCACGACTTCACAGAAGACCGGCGTAAAGTACAAGTGTTACACTTCTGCGCTTCGTCTGGTGGGTGAGGTGGGCGGGGCCCACTTTATTTATAGATGCATTTGCAACCCTACGGGGCTTGCAAATGTCCATGGGCGGCGTTTATCACTTAACATCAGGCGAACCGCCAGCTCGTTTTCCACTTTCTCTCATAAAAAAAAATGCAGTGAAATACTGATAGTAATCTAATTCAGCTGTGGCCTCGTTACGTAATTGTCTGATAGTGCTAGTATATCAAACGTTGCTGGGCTTTATCTTTCAAGTTTCTCTATATTAAAAAGAACATAATAAATAGTTTCTTAATAGTTACGTAATTTAAACTTGGAGAAGATGCGTTAACACGACCTGACTGCAAATTAATAGTAAATTCCCAATTTATATTGAAAAAAAAAACATAGAAACTCATTTGAATCATATATGCATATTTTTATCTTATAATTTATGTTCGTGAGGTTTAATATTGTGCCATATTTAACGTTATATATTATTCATATTGAAAAACTCTACGCTGATCTAACCCGCCTGAAAACGGAACTGCAGAAGCATCTATAAATCGAGTGTTCGAAAACTTTATCCGGCTCTTGCCGATTTACGCGATGGTCGTGTCCGCCGGAGCTAATGAAACTTAAGGGGACGCCCCGCGGAATCCAACATGGCGGTCGCTCGAGCCCCCGGGATTTATTCCCGGTTCGATCGGATCGCGATACCGGGGCACACGTAATTTAACTTCTCGAATCCGAGATCTGTTCCGCTATCGCTGAAATTATAAGGTAATACCCGATTCGGGTACAGCCGGGAAATCCTAAACTACAACGGATCAGGAACCAATTCTCCCCGGTCTTTTTCCCTCCTGTCTTTTTTTATTGGACACTTAAGTGGATTTAGGGAGTTCGCCGAAATCCAACAGACGTTATTACCGCGGATTGTCTGATAGATTTAGAGAACGATTGTTGTTTAACTATTTTAGTCACATCTGATTAATTTTGACGTCTGTATTAAGCATTGTTTATTATGTTTCGGATTGTTATGTATAGGATTATTATGTTGATTATTATGGATAATTTGCTGTTAGGTGAATTTATTTTAAAATCAAGCGGAAACTTGTTCAAACTCACAAGTTAAAATGACAGCGCGTTCTAGTTAACTATAACATGTTAAATAATAAAACTTTTCGCTCCATTTCGCTCTGGGACTTTTCGCTCGGCCCAATACACTGAATAAGCACTGTGTCTTATAAGTATAAATAATGAATGAAGCCGGTCGTACGCGGCCCGTCGAGAGGGGCGAACTCATTGTCCTAAACGAGAGATCTTGAATCTTTTGTTTGCTCATTTGTTACAAGTTTTCCCCGAACGAAGGCTGTTCCGACATCTTCCCGTCTTCATATGCCAATGTAAGCTTCCGCGACCGATCGCCCCTTTTCTCTGTTTGACGTGGGGAAATGCCTTTGCATAGCCTCCCTCCCGGTTTAGGACGGGCCATGTTGCACTCGCCCCAAACAAAACTCCCACATCGTTCCAGTAGGACGCATAACGGCGGCGCCACTCGAATGACGGCACGTCACCCTTGTCCCGACTTTCCAAAGCTTCATAGAAATCTTGAGATAAGCGAGATTGTTTTGGCATTAAACACGAAATCGGTAAATATACTAAAATTGCTGGGTCGTTAAATTTCGATGAACCTCGGATAATCGGGTCCTTGGATCTCGAAACTTTTCATTCGTTTTGTTTTCTAGTTTCGTCTCGTTAAAACACATTTTTAATATTACCGTAACAAACTGACGCTTTGATAAAAGAAATGTATTCCTTCTCAATCAAGTTAACTAATGTTAGTTACTATTGCTTTGAATACTCCTTACAGTTTAAAATAAATTGGACCTCAAATGGACTTGGCCGATGTCACGCTGGATTCGCGAACCTGTTTGAAGGAATGGGAAAGACATCGCTCAGTGCAATCTCTACCTTCGTCACGCGTTCATATTTAACGAGCCGGCATTCTGCCGGTAAGGCTGGAAGTTATTCGTCTTTAAAGCGAAATAGACCTTAAGGTCGCTGCAAATAATGATCAAATTCCACTGATAACGGTGCGGGCACTCGTCGATTTTCTTTAGTCCTTTTACGTTCGGGTGAATGAAAAGGAATTGCTAATTAAATGTTAGGTTACGATATGTCGCAAGCAAACTACTGCGAATGTAAAACTACAAAGGAATTCTCAATGTTTATTAACATGTTAGTAATAACGGGGAATTTTTACCCGATGGAATATTTAACGTGATTTTACTTTTCACTACGTTAACGTGTTTTAATATATAAATTTATTTTTATTATATATTTATATAGTAATGTTATTATATTGTTATTACTATAAAGAATGAGTAGAAATTTTCAGAAATTTTATACAAATTTCCGATGCGTTTGGTGGGACTTTAAAAAAACGTGGTGCATGAAACCATGCCCGTCACTAGTAACTTATAAATAATCAGAATCGTAAAAAATGTGACAACTCGTTTCAATTACGCAGTTCCAGAGATACAATTACGCGGTTCCAAAGATAAACTCAATCCGAACTATATTGCTGCATTTTCCACCCGACTCGAAAATATGGAAGCTATGTGCTGCAAGTATTTCGAGACATAATTCACTTCATCGATTGGAAACCGCCAACCGATCCATTGCGAGCCATGGACGGCCCCGGACCCGCGATTGCTCGTACTCCATTCCAATGGCGACTGCCCAGACTTTGATCGATATGTTCATGTAGGAGACATTATAAAACACTAACTGCTGCCCGCGACTACGTCTGCGTAGAACAGGCTAAACTCGTAACATTCAAACAGAAAGACAGATATACGTAAAAATATGTACCTATATAAATTATAGCCTATTTGTTATTGTGATGTATAAGCTATATTATTGTTAAGTTTCATTAGAACCCATCCAGTAGTATTTACGTGAAAGAGTAACAAACATCCATCCATACATACAAACTTTCGTGTTTATAATATTACTAAGTATTTTACTCGTTTTGTCGAATTCACCGCGTCCCGGTGGCTCGTGTTCTTGGACTTTACCGTTTCCGGATTGTTTCGACAGCTCCAAAGACTTAATATAAGTATATTGATATTGAATGAAGATATTTCAATTTGTAAAATTTTAATTTGATAAAGCCACTGTCAGAGGAGAGCAGTTTAAAGATATTTTGTTTCACATTTGGATAATTTTGAAGCTTATTATATGATTTTTTTCCTTTGTACTAACTAATAATAAAAATTCTAAATGCACTGTTGAACGACCTCAATTTGTTCTTTTGCCGGTTCTTCTCAGGTCAGTCACCTTTCTTTTCCGAACCAACAGTGTTTTGACAATCAATAAGTAAGTTTTTTATATGATAAAGATATTTGAATTACAAAAATTTTATGACAATGTCGGTAGAAATATTTAACAAAAGTAATAATGTTAACTCATTTAATCAATCCAGCAAAACGAGAAATGTACATTTAGATAATCGGGGGACATTAAATTTTTCTATAGATTTATTTATGTTTAAAAAAATTGACAATATTCATCATCATTAACATGGGAAATTGTTTCTGATGTGAGTTGACGGTGCTGGGAAAAGTTCTGGGTAAACGTAATTCTTCTTTAGTCATCAGTTCTAATTATCAAATTATTACATACTATCATTAAGAGAAACCTAATAAAATAGGAAGAAATCAATCGAAGGACGAAGGCGTCCGCACCGAAACTTTAATTTTATTTAACACTATCGAGTTTACAAAGGACATTCGTTTTTGGTTCGGCTTTTGGTTACGTTTCGAACATTTCATTTCGGAAATATCCGAGGCTAAAGTTTCAAAAGCTCTCATCAAACTTTAAATTACTAACAATCTTTATTGTGCTGTTCAAGTTTTAAATAAAATGACAATATGCTTTGTTTAGAAAAGGCTCGCCGGTGCTCTTGATTGAATGCTAAAAAATTCGTATGATAACATAAACATTTTCCAAAAAAAGTTTTAACTTATCAATAGTAAAATTCGAATTATAACAAGAAAAACCGGCCAAGTTCGAGTCGGATTCGAGCACGACGGGTTCCGTACCATTCTCTATGAAAACGGCAAAAAAAAACATGACTGTTGTATGTGAGCCCCACATAAATATTTTTTTACATCTGTTTTTTAGTATTTGTTGTTATAGTGGCAATAGAAATACACCATCTGTGAAAATTTCAACTGTCTTACTATCACGGTTCATGAGATACAGCATGGTGACAGACGGACAGGCAGATAGACAGCGAAGTCTTAGTAATAGGGTTCCCGTTTGATGCTTTGGGTACGGAATCCTAAAAAGTATGTTTACTATAAGGTTTTATCATATTTGACAACAATTTTGGCGCGATTTTTGCTTTTTTTTTTCTAACCGATACGTGGCTCGCAGTCCGATTCGTAATGCCACGGTTACTCCACTTCAGCGAAACGAACTCGAACGGTTCCGTCTCCGCGACGCGGGCAAATACGCTCACGAGCTATTCAAGATTTCAAGCGGCGCGGGCCCATGCAAATGTTCGAAAGAGAGAGAACTCTCCAGAGGCGACCCTCGATAGTGCCCCAGTGACCTATGATTTACTGGTGCTCCGCCAGCGCAAGGCCCCATTACGCCATTGTTGTCTCGGATATATTGGCTTGCGCCCGTCGAGTGCCGCGCTGCGTTCTGATTAATGCGTCACTATTTAATAACGAAGCCACGGAACCAGTTGAAGACGGTGAAAGTGTATTTATGCATCCTCTATTGTACGACATCGTCAATACGAACGGTACAAAAGCGGTGTCGAGGTAGACACAATGCGCCGTTTTATTTGTGGACGCGATTTATATTTATTCGTTTCGTGTATCGTTTCAACATTATGTTGGACGAAATGCGAACAACCTTGCTCTTAAGATACCAATAATGTTTAAAATACACAAATCTTTTAACATTACCGGTGTACGAAAGATTACTATTATCGCGTACGTCTCATAAAAACAGTTTTAGATAGCTTCACAAAGGAAATAACAAAACATAAAGTTTTTTAATGTCGAATGTAAAACATTTGTCACTTTTATAATTGCAAATGATAACCATAATATTCCTGTGTTAGACTTACTTGCAACCGAGTTCATTTAAATTTTATCTAAATGAACAAATTTAAATGGATTCGAAGTAATTCCCGACCTCTTCATTCTAATCAATTAATGAGATATAAATAGTGTCCATTGGTGTATCGCAAAACTGGGATCAGGTTAGTGATTTCCTTTCAATAATTCAAAATGATTAAAAAATTAAAGCCATTCCCAAACCATCGAACAGAAATTCGAAACTACTCGATGTTTTTGTCAAGATGGGTGTTGAAGAAGCTACCCTTCTGGTTCTGTGGAATTCTATGGGTCGCGCATTGAAAGGATGAGCCTCCTGTTACCACATCGACCTTACGGGAGGTCAACCATAAATACGTGGTAAATGGTACAGGATGTTCTAAACGTTTTCTAACGCGACCGATAAAGCGGTCGATCATTGTGGCTTTAACTGCGACGGAGCGCAAGCGCCCGGTTCGAATCTGAAATCGAGCCAATTGTAAATCGCAGCGTTTAAAGCCCACTTCAGCCGCTTCCCGAAAAAAGTCGATCGGCGTCTAAGCCTGGCGTGGTACCTTGATCTCCCCTGCTGGTTCAATTACCGCTTCTTATCAGTATTTTATCGCGCGCCGCCGGCACCGGCGATAGCTTCCGAATAATCCCCATTTAAAAGGATCCGAGAGGCTGCAGATAATCAGGACATATTTTATTGAGAAGCTCGCACTAAAAGCCCGTGTGGGACTTTTTTCGCTTTTACTTTATAAGTACGCGATTCAAACCAAAATTATGTGGATCTCAATGCTTAATACCAATTTGCTCGGGTTTTCTGGGGTATTCAGTTTGGTTGATGCGAGTTTAGTTTTTAAGAGGGCTTGACATGATGAATCAGTATGAGATGATTGGGGCACATCTAACACACTAGTGTCGATTCCTTTAGAATAAATAGCAATTTCAAATGTAAGATAAACCGTATTTGGTCGGATACTAACGTTTATCTATCGTTACCCAGAAAATATTAGTGTAAGGAAAATTATAAAGTAAAGTATCATATAAAAGCATATACATGTCCCACTGCTGGGCAAAGGCCTCCTCTGTACGGAGGGTGTCAGGGCACCAGTCCACCAGGCGGATTGATGTACTTCACATATCTTCGAAATATATATATTTTTATTATTGTTTCGAAAACATGCAGGTTTCCTCGCGATGTTTTGTTTTTGTATAACTGACGTTACGCTTTTAGTCCTTAGACTATTAAAACTTCATTGAACGCACCGATTTTTTCCTTCACCGCTGAGTACATGATAAATCAGCACTTAAATTTAATAATTTCATTGGTGTCGGCACCGGGGATCGAACTCAGGTTGCTCGAGTATATTGAATTAAAGGCGAGCGCCGGAACTCTGAGCTATCACGGCTCTTAAGGAAGATTATAAAAGGTACCGTAATTGATGACACTTTGAAAGACACAATTACCTAGCTATATAACTTGCTATAATATAAATACTTCATACTTAAAAAGAATTATCGTCGTAACGCAGGGTATTTATGATAATAGCCGTCCGTAGACTGGTATACGATTCTCTGACAACGATATATCGAGAGGCTCGGCACCACTCCATACTTATCGTTGTAATTACACCACATTCATATGTAATTATCTGTAATTTAATCAGCCTACATACGTCCCACGGATCTAAGTACGGACCAGGTTGATTTCACCATAAGTCGGTGCTCTAATTCTTATTTAGAAAACAATAAATAAAATTAAAAGAATAATATAGGAACTGGCAATTTATGAAACAAAGCGGAAACTTTCTTTTGTAATCGGTAGGTAAACGAGTATACAACCGGCATATACAACCAGAACACCGATGGAATTGTCATTCTTTAATCTAAATTCTAACTTTTGTGTAAAGCTTTTAGTGAACATTTATACTGTAGTGAACAAGTTAGGAGATTCCCACAAGCATGCGTGCCTATTGTGAATTGCACCAGTCCGCTACAACAATGTACATGGCCATGACACAGAAAATGAAATGAAAATATTTATTTACTTGAATAGAATGTTGTTATTTCTTACTATGATATTGTACATAGTGCAGTGTTTTCTACCAATTTACGGCGTGCTAATGTTTAGTAAAAAACTTAAGATGACAAAAATTTTGTGTTGTAACTCAATTAATATAATTAAATTAATAAAAATAGTTTTTATCGGTAACCAACTGTTTTAGTTCTCATCTAGTGAAAAGATGTATAATTTTTTAAGTATATAAAGAGTACAAAATTTATTGGCACTTCGGAAACATGTATTTCCAAAACAGAACAGACTTTATTTTCATCGTATAATGAAAAGCTTTAGGACCATTTGAAATACTAACACTTCAAACGTATTTTTCTCACTTAGCAAAAGACATTTTGCTTATTTTCCATATCTCAGATTGTTTCAGTCCGTTAGGAGTGACGAACCGAGAGAATTGTAAAATAACCGAACGTGTTAATATTTACGTCGTGCTGCAAGCTATTTCGACGATCCGCCGCTTTCCGCAAATTAAATCGGTCGTTTGTCTTGGGAGCTCTGGAACTTAAGTTTACCGCCTCACAGAACCGTTGAGACGAGGCGGGTGCACATTTCTCCACGATCCCATTTTTAAAAGCGCAATTAAACGCCTTGCAATCGATTGATCTTGTGTTTCGTTCGGTTTAGTGATGCATCGGAATTGGTTTAGGCCAGAATTTCGCGGGGAATGAATCGCCTTGTACTCGAATACTTAAAACGAAATAAAAGTATTAAGCATAAGTTTATAAAACTGCAACAGCTTATAAAATTTAACAGTTTTAATCATATTTGTTCTCATTAAGTCTCATTCAAAAATTTAAAGTATAGAGATCTTTAAAAGATAATTGTTTGAAACTGGTAATAATGCACTGTCAAATTTATAAGGAGAGGGGACGCAATAATACAAGCTAAGTTTGGTCATCAGTTTCCCACGATATGAAAAATAATTAAATCATAATTTACAACATCATTTGGAACATATATAAGTTGAAAAGTACATCACACTCTACTTACTTCACTTACGGAAATGAAACATTAGTTTCAAGTATAAATTCTTTAGGACCTAGCAAAAAAAACCGCTAATTCAATCTGATCAATCTACTGGTATTCTTTTGCATTTCATTGTACAAAATTCGTTTTCCGTCATCTCAACGTAAACACCGCCCGCGCAATGGAAACGCGCTCGCATAAACGCCCGCTTATGAGCTATGTTGAAATCCATCTGAAGTACTATTCTCACCATTGTGAATCTTTCGACGGAGTAGTGTAATCTATGCGTGTGACTGTTGCAAACGAGTAGCAGATTTTAAATCTCACACCTGTGGGGTCGAATATAAGCTGCCAAAGAATGTACTACATGGTTCACCAGACCTATAAATGCTTAACAATTTATTTATCCATTCATTCGTGCTGTATCGATGCAGCGTTTTACCGGAGCTATTGCAGATAGCGGATTCCAACATATATATGTCGAGCATTTATAATTATAGTGAACTATTTAAATAATATCAATTTCTGGGAAATGTAAAACATAGATTTGTCCACTTATGAACGAATCGCGGTGATTTTAGGCGAGTGAAGGAGACCGAAGTATACTTTATGTTGCTTTCTACGCCAAAATCGGCCCTTGTAAGAGGCAAAAAAACTAGTTGTTTTTGGTCGTCTCTTGACATAAAATCAAAATCATGATTTTCTTAATTAGTTTCCTTTAATTCTGAAGTTACGATACATATGAAGCCTTATTATATAGACATCTAATTTCATTTTTCATTGTAAGATGCTCGACACGCGTTTACGACCTACGTCCCATTCGGTGTACACAGCACCTAACGGCGGAAGTGGATGAATTGCGACGGTTTTATTTTTCAATGGCGGGCGAGTTGTTCAAACGCAACGGCGCTCCATCATTCATGTACGTTGTTAATATCGCGTAATGTTCAACGTTCAAGATTTAGGACGGTTTTCTGAACGTTTGCAAAGCGGGAAATGCTTAAGGGAACGCTTAATAGATGGTAAGGTTTCTTTTTTACGAAGAATGCTTTTCTTCATGTTTTATATTTATTTTATGTGAAACGTTACCAAGCGAGCAGACGGTTCACCTGATGTTAAGTGAATACCGCCGCCCATGGACATCTTCTACACCCGAGTGTTGCAGATGCGTTGACAACCTTTTGGAAATTATATCTCTCGTGACTTCTGTTTTGCGGGCGGAGGTCTGTCCCGCGACCATGAACGCTGTAAAGGGTTCGAAACGTCGGGAAATTAAACTAAAAATAAACGTGATAAGTTCGTCATCATAGTTTAATTTATTTAAGAGGTGAATATATGATCATTGGCTGAGATTGCGTTGTCCGATCTCATAATACGAGGTTTTCTATCTCCAACCATCGCGAATAGAATAGAATAGAAAATCTTTATTGATCGTAAACAAACACCGTTTAAAAAAAAAGAGAAGAAAATAACTAATTTACATATAAATACAATTAATAATTTTCTTAATATCGAATAATAAATACAAAGTCGGTGTATGCGACGACCAAAAGGTAGCCAGCTCAGCATAATGCTAAGAAACAGCATGCAGCGAATAGAAAATTTATCAACGTACAAACCGAGCACGGTTATCACTCCTCCATCTCGCCGCGACGGGAAGTCGAAATCATCCGCGATCGATCGACACAGCGGAGGGGGCAGGGGTCCCTCATTTCCAATTATTTCAGCGGGGTCGGGTGATTTATCGAGGCGCTCATTTGTTTCGCCGGACATCGGCCATTGTTCGAGCTTGTGTAGCCCGCTCGGAGGGCAATGATTAAACGCGGCGACAAATACAACGGACGCGGTTTCTTTATTCGCAACGTCGCCGGATTGCCGTCCGACCGAGTCCAGCGCAATTGGAGCGGCGGTCGAGCTGTCCCGTGTTGCGTTTCATTCGCTCCCATTCGTTCATGTTCCGCTTCATTCGCTCCGCTCGCTCCCATTCGTTCATCGCCAACCGTTCATTCGTTAAGAACCGATTGCCGTCCTCGATTTAAGCTATTGAATTGTAGTTGGAAGGTCAATTAAAAAAGCGACGGGTGTTGAAGATTTCTATTCGGAATCAATTTTCTTATAACAAAATATTGACAACTTGCCTTTTGAAATGTTTTTTTTGTTATGGAAACTGAACTATCCATGAAAATCTGCAACACCGGGAGGGCTTGCGAATGCGTTGCCGGCCTTTCAAGGAAGAATATGGTCTCTTCATGAAGGTTCCCGGGTAGTAACGGTTCGGAAATACCGCCGACGGCAGCTGGTTCCACGGAGTGGTTGTGTGAGGCAGAAAAAGCCTCAAAGATCGCGCTGTTGTGAAACGCTTAACATGTGAATGTAACAGTTGCACATGTCTTATACAATTAATAAAAGTCTAGTAATATAATATCTGATTACAATTCGATTCCGGAATGACATTATTTATGTAAAGTGACCTACGATCAATTATGCCTATCCAATAAAATTAATATAGGTATGTAAACCGTATTTACTACATAGTTTTCAGAAAAAAAACTTTTAAACAAAGATAATTTGTAGAACGCAATAATGTCGCAGATATTATTGGTATTGGAACTTTGTTTGAAGCGAAGCTTTCATTATTTTACTCTTTTCAAGAAGAATCGTTAAATAAATCTATGTTGTCTTTTCCGATGAGTCGGCTTTAATATTAGTTTTTCCTGCAAACAAATATACTTTTCGTCATACCAAGTTCCGAACTTTCATGGTTGTTTTGGAGTTTCTCTATCATTAGCAAACTTTACGATTGATCAAAATTTCATGAAGTAGATAATAGATTGGAAATTTCTATTCTAAAGTACCATACTTCCTGACCTTCATTCTAACTTTTACACACTAATAAAATTCGGTCTCAACACAAATATAGTATTTATTAAACATAGTTATAAATTGTATTAGAATTATAACTGCTAATATTTTATGAAAAGGTATTTATGCTTCTGTTGAATGGCAATATTTCTATGCACTGCTTTAACCTTTTCGCAATTACGAGTCTGGTTGTAGCCGTTATCAATTTTGATTACATTTTGACACTCGCAACATTAAGACTGTTCGATTGACATAAGAATCGCCAAAATCGTCTGAGGCGTGGTCTCTAGAGCTGGAAAGAAACACATACGTAGGCTGATAAACGAATATTATACGCATTTAATAAAACAACACGGGTATAACTTTGTAACACACGTTTCGCCCCTTACTAAAAATAACATTACAGCTAGTGACACGCTCGTCGCACACAGGATATAAATGCGAGACAACCAATTCTACCCGAAAGCGATCTAAAAACTTATTTCGCACTACACTGTTTACGTGAGAAGGTGGTAAACGAGATGTTAATAAGCGAACGAAACTGACGAAATTCAGACGTATAACACTGCCATTTCACGTCGGTCTTCTGTGAGGTCGTGGTTCCCCAGTCGGACCTGCCCATTCGTTGGTGCGAAGACTGCTGCGTGGCCACCCCGCAGATATGCGATAACACTTACGACCGCATTTCGTATCATTGCTAGCATATCAAAACAGCGCCCGCATGCGAATGCTGCTCTAAAACAACGGACGCCGCACCAAGCTTAAAAGCGAAGAAGTGGTCTTGTGAAAGAGGGCGATAACGGCTTTTCAGGCGGCGGAGGATCGCGAGTGACACTCCAGCTGCAATCGCAGGTGCTTGAGCGCCTCAGGGCGGAATGCGTTTGTTTTTCGACACTTTTGTGTGAATGCTGAACGGTATTATAACGCAGTGCTACCTACTTTCCGGTATCGCGTAGCTTTCAATGTTGTTCTCTAATGGTGCTTTTAGCTAATTCCTAAACGCTACACAGCGCGACCACTCTAAAGACTAAAAGGTTTTAGTTCTTCAGATGTTGAAGTAGATTTGAGTTTGAAGAAACAAAGACTGTATAGATTTTTCAAAATATACATACATACACACATGTCAATCATACAACTGAGTATTTTTAATTTTGGCTTTTGCAAGTTCAAATCAAAGTCCAATCATTATGAATACAATATTGCGTCAGTAATATTTCGAGACATATTATTCAATATGTTTAAGCTAGTGCAGTTTTGTATATTATCTTGTACAATCTACGTCTTGCGGCTCAAATACCCGATGTATTTTCAACTTTAAATTGATTGGAATTACCTGTGCCATAGTATGAAATGTGCTTAGGCGAAGCGCAATCATCCACGAATTACCCACGGACTCGAAATAGGTAATTAAAGGCAAAAACTTAATACGCGAGAACCGAGGGCCCTCACTAAAGTAACACCATCCGACCGACAGAGTTGTGAAACGCACCATAAACGCGGCAATATTAAAGTTTAATTCGCCAACACTGGAACAATAAAGTCGTTTTACGGGCGGGCTTAAGCAATCTAACAATTAGCTCCCAGACGCTTATTAACCGTTTGAACTGTACGGCAGCTTTTAAAAGTTATTATTTAGCGGCCGCCGTAAAGCGTACCGGCCTCGTGGTGTTTTATGAATAATAAAATCTGACCGTTACTACGTAGGTGCTCGTCATTTGAAATTGGAAGGTGTCTACCGAATGTTTCGTATTCGAACGGTTGGCGCGGTCTGTTTTGTGCACGTAGCCTGGTTCGAAACAGAGCTGATGATATGGTCAGGTGTAAAAACTGTCTGTTGTATAAGCCAAGGGAACTACGAATTTTGGAAAGCTGGTGGGCCTGAAAGGTGAGACATTCTTAAATGTATTAGTAGTATTATGTATTTTACTTATCTATTCCATCATCATCACTAAACACATAAATAGAGCTAAACACACTTTAAATTTAGGTGCGATTTGGAAAAACTGTTTAGATTAGGAAAACAGTTAGTACTTTCTAAAAAGGAAAGGATGTCGGATACAATTAATATGATAGAAGCACTTAAATAATCTAATTTCTCATTACAACAAAGCTTTTTATCATAATATATATACTGATATCTAGTAAAAGTAATAATACTTTATCATTGCGGTCACGGCGACTGTTTGAAATGTCTGTCCGCATAAGTTGCATGAAAGAAGTACCGTCGCTGAACCACTGCGTAAGTGTGAAACTGTAGAAAATACCACAATTACACCTGGTGTTGATGACTCCGCGGCGCAGTTGCCGAAACATTGCCATCGGCGCCGGGAACGATGTTCGATTCCCGCACGAGACAAATGTTTGCATGACCAACAGATAATATTTATGGATCTAAGTGTTTGTTATTTATTTCGAACATACTTACAACACAGCATAATGTTATCCTACTGTAAGGTGACATTGTTTTCGATAGGAAGCCTACAATAAATCTATATCGCAGTGGTCGTTGGGTAGTAAACCCAAGCCCTCCACACAAAATAAAAACGAAATCTGTTGTTCTGCCTTATGTGTTATTATTATATAAATTAGCTGGCGAGTCGATTCGTCCGCAGGTCTCGCGCGGCGAATGTTCACTTATACACATGTTAATACGGCAAAAGGAATAATTAACGGGAGCCATAAACACTGAACAATAGCCGAGCTAATTGTTCGTGTATTTAGCATTTTCACTTGGAATTATTTATGAAATTGAAACTCGTTTCATTAGCAAGCATCGCGCTTATGTAACAACGCGTGAATAATTAAATTTGCTCCCCGTAGTAGAGGGTAATTTTATGCAGAATTAGAGACACTAAAATTTAACCGTTGCCTTGCGAGGCTGAAAATACGAGTACCGTCGATAAGGTTGGCAAACGACTTTCTTGATGTTAAATATAAGATTGGTTTTGATTCCTTAAGTTTAGGTCATTGATGTTTTACGTCACATATCGTACGTATTGAATACGTCAAGCTTTTTTAATAATTTTTTTTGTTTCTGCATACACAGTATCTCTAATTATTCAGCTAAATAAAAAAATCATTAGACTTTATCAATATTGAAAGAAGACCTTTGCGTAATTTTTAAGAAGCTTGTTTCGTATCAATTTTATCAGTACATTTTTGCACTTTCAGTCGTTTTCATTTATTATCAGTAGGTATTACAATTATCTCCCTGATGTCCTTCTGCTGGGAAAATACCTCCCATCCCTGCTTCTAGACAATTCGTCGTACTAGTCTACGAGTAGGTTCCGTGTACACACTTCATTAATTCAAATTACACTCGTACATTATTTTTAGTCAAAATAACGTACAATTCATAAATTCGCCTCGCGACCCGAAATAAATGGCGCGTTTAGATAATATACTCGATAATTTCAAATAAACGCCCTCTCTCATACGGGCGCATAAATCACCATCGAAAAGGGGCGATATTTACCGAATACATTTGTACAAATGAATTTTATTTCGGTCCATTGTCGTGTAAAGCGCCCGCGCCCGCCGTGCGCGCAAATCCGTGATCTATTCCTGGAGCGGTAGGGTTGCGAATGCACTGCACGCTGTCGGGTGCATTCGCGAAGGCAGATAGAGCGGGGCACTCCTTTTTGCTCGCGATCACGACACCGGTAACGACTTCCTCGCAAACGGTGCGAGTGCAGCGAGCGAGCGTTCGACGTAGGCGAGTGAGGTGCGAGCACAAAAAGCGCGCCGATTGTTACGAATGCAAACGGAAGTGTCAACGCGCGGCTGAGAAATGAGCGCCCATCGGACGCCCATTCCGGTGTTTTGACTTCGTAAAAATTGGCCGCGGGAAAAGGCGGGAGAACGCGTTCAGTAATTTCGAATTTCGAACGGCTCGTCCGCAGAATATTAAATAGGGTTTATTTATTTCATTTTAATAATAAAAAAATATTGTCGTGTCCGGGTGAATACAATGTGTTTTGGAGTCATGAATACGTTTACGAGTTAGTTTGTTTAGGACGTCATCGCCATTCATTGTGAAATGTAATATGTTTATATTAAGCTAGTGGATTTACCGACAACATCATAATTTATCACTAGGTAAGACAAGGGACAAACATTGTTTGATTCGTGATTAAAAGGCTCGTTTAAAAACATAAAAAATCGAAATAAATGGCGACTAAACAACATTTTTAGTTGTGTTGCACCTACCCACAGCACAACCAGACGATCTTCAACTTTTTTCTTAGGAAAACGACGCCCAATATTCCGAGAAGTGCCTTCCAGCTTAAATGATTAGTCCATAGCAGCATTTAGGGCTTTACGTGACCAAACTTTAACGTCGTACTCAAAAAAAAATCATTGTTTTTGATCCAAACGAATCAAAAGATCCACTCAGAGTTTTTGTAACTAAATGTTGTCGATAAATGGTTGCAACCGAGAATACACCCTTACCAACAAAACTCTTAGTAGTCTCGATGAGCTATTACGATAGCGTTTCGAGTGAAAGGGACCTTAAAAAAAAACGTCTTAATTTTTTCATCCACAACCACCACTTGAAACTTGCGCCCCGCAGCCTTTGTCTCCACATTCGCATTCCAAAAAAAAAAACAACCATTCGAATTTCGAGACCAATTCAAACTGAAACTGCGACGGCGGCGGGGCGGGAAAGAAGAAGCGAAATTCGAAATTGGAACTCGATCAAAGAGCACTAATTGTCAAGAGTGGGCACTACAATTCGAGGGGGTTTTATTGCGGGTACGGCCGCGGGGAGGGGGCAATTTGGCGCTGCGAACGCAAGAGGCGCGCGTGTTTATTAGAGGCGCCGTCCTCGCCGCCGGCACACGATTTGCATAACGGTGCCCGGCGTAATTAGAAACCATCTCGGCGCCTCCTTTGTCCCGTCGAGTCTTCCTGACGTGACACGGCTTGTATTTATCCGCACCGGCCCTTTATACGAATTAGAACGGCCGTGTTCCATGTTACGAAGACCCGGATCCGTGGTTGTACGAAGGTTTTACTTCCCGCAGGCGACGCTGTTCTCTTACCGTCGGTTGACCAGCTACTAAGACCTCTTTAAAAAACACAGCGTGCAAAAATATTGACATGACTCAGGTTACATGATGGCATAGTGGACTAACTGACTAGAGTAGCTTCATCATCTTTCAGCCTGTTTGAATCCAATGCTGATTATAGGCCTCCCCCTCAGACTGCCACGAAGTACGATCCTGAGTCACCTGCATCCATCGAATTCCCGCAAATTTGCACAGGTCTTCACTCCATGTAGTGGGGGGTCGTCCTACACTGCGATGGCCAGTACGAGGCTGCCACTCGAGAACCTTTCCTTGCCCAGAGTAGCTTGCTACTCCACTATTCTCTTTTTAAAAAGAAAATATGAAACAATGCCTCTCATTTATTATCGATTTTGTCGCCTCGTTAAAACACGGAGATAAACAGTCATCGGTGAGACAACAGATTTGACTTTACATCGACTCCCTGTTTGTTTTTCGAGCTGTATTTTTTTATTGTTATATATATATATATATATATATATTATATCTGTTCGTTCTATTCGTACCCCTTAAAACTGACGCGATTGACATTTCGTTGGACATTTAATGTAAAGATATCACAATAATGTTTGCCGTAGGAAACACTATATACAGATATATCTTCGCGTATACTTGTATTCAAGAATGACTCCCAATAAATTAATAGGTGTCAATTGCATGCAACTTGCTATTGTTAATGACATAATAGAAGTCTAATAACATATAAGGCCGCAATATGGACGATTTGAAAGGAAACCGGAGTTAGATTTATAGCATATACGATAGCCTTTGAAGCAAGGTGCATGTTATGCATGAATGCATTAGATAAATCTTGTTATTTAACGACAGGGCGTAGCTCCTGAGTGTGCAAACAATTGGGTCTATCGACGCAGGTACTAGTGACACGGACGCTAAGCCGAAGCTGCACAAAGCACCTGCAAACACGTTTGCCGTAATAAATCACCTGCTGAGGCGGAAGCATAGCATCTGCCGGCTGAGCCCACAATGGAGACAACCGTAATGATTATAAAGACCCAACGTTGGATTCTAAATATGACGTGTTGATTTAATCTTCGTTAATCCTATTACATCGTTGATAATTTTCTTGTTGAAGTGATGAATGTTCAATACATTATGTTAGAACATAAATAAATAAAAATTATTTGTTGCTTTAAAAAAAGTAGTGTTTTTTTTGTGTTGTTGAGGACTCTCTTATAACTAAAAAGAGAGGTGTAGTAGAAGTTCGCACTCTTTTCTACCGTAATATACATATTAAGTTAAAGAAAGACTTATAACAATGTTAACTGTAGGCCGGAAACGGTCAATGAGAAATTGCTATCAGGAAGTGTGCAAATCGGAGTCGGGATTATGGTCGAAAGCTTATAGAGGCCGCAATTAATAATTGCGGTTTAGTTCCGTAATTAGTTCTATAACCTATCGTCAATAAATAGTGCTGTTAAACTCGATAGAATGTGCAAAACACTTTTAACAAAGTTGCTCTAACGCCCGGCTTCCGAAACACTGATCAACGTAGATGTCAACTAATCAGCTGTCAAATGAATTTCAAATGTCATATGAGTGGCCAATACGATGGTTAAACTCTTTGAATTGATCATTCTGATCATTAAGAAGATCATTCCGGTCAATTCAGAGAGTTTAACCATCCTTTTGGTACCTAAATTGTAATTTGAAATCCATTGGACAGCTGATTAGTCGACATCTACGATGATCAGTGTTTCAGAAACCGGGCGTCACATTAAGATATTGATTTCGTGAACGAACATGATGTAGATATTTCTTAACAGGGTCTTCTCATGATCCTTTACTTTTACCCCTTTGAAAAATCCACAGAACTATTATGTGTATACAGCCAATAATTCTGCAAGATTCTTGAAAAATAATCTCTCAACTGTAAGGTATATTACTAGACTGTATATCTTCATTCCACGAAACCACTGCAAATCCTCGCAATAGCGTAGCCGGGCTCGAATTCATCATCATAAAGGCGAGATAAGCCGCCGGCGGCGAATTTAATAATTACCCCGCTCACCCAAAGTGCATAGGTGGTCCGGGCCGGGCCCGCCAAGCCAATATCGATCCAATTAATTACGCCACTAACGCGCCCGCGGTATGCAGCGATAGTAGCGCAGGGCGCCTCGCTCCGAATCCTTAAGGCGCAAAATGCGCTGGCTGCTTTTGTTAACGACAAACGTCGTCATTTGGTTCAAGAAACATAATAAAAATAAAGTAACAGCCTATACATGTCCCACTGCTGCGCAAAGGCCTCCTCTATACAGAGGTTATCAGGACAGGAGTTTACAGGGTCCACCACGCGGCCGCACTGCGGATTGGCAGACTTATTTCGAAAATATGCAGGTTTCCACACGAAGTTTTCCTTCACCGCGTAGCACTTGATAAGTCAGCACTTAAAGTTAAAAACTTCATTGGTGCCGGCACCGGGGACCGAACTCAGGTTGCTCGAGTATATTGAATTAAAGGCGAGCAGCCGGACACTGTGCTATCACGGCTCTAAGAAACATAATAGTTTCACAAAAACCTGGAACGTTGCTTTAAGTGATAACCACCGCCCACGGACATTTGCAACACCCATAGGGTTGTAGATGAGTTGCCACCTTTAATAAAGTGGGCCCCCGCCACATAACTCACCAGACGAAACGCCGAAGTATAACTTCCAATTCATGCAAGCATTCTGTATGGTCGTGGTACTTACCTGGACGGACCGGTCCATTCGTGCAACAGCCGAAGCTTTCCAGAATTTATTAAAATTTGACTTTGAAGAATTTATTAAAGCTCTCAGTCATATATTCAAAGAACAACCGACTGTGTCATTTCCAAAGTTATGTCAAAACAATTTCATCACATCCATCGAGTACATTCGAAACGTAACTTAATATACGTAAGCGTACCTACTCAATAATTTAAAAAATGGCCAAGTGTGAGTGGGACTCGCGCACGAAGGGATCCGTTATCTGTAAAAACGCCAAAAAAATTATGTATGTTGTATGCACTTAAATATTTTTTTATTGTTTTTTGGCATTTGTTGTTAAAGCGGCACCATCTGTGAAATCTCAACTGTCTAACTATCACGGTTCAATCACGTTCATGAGATACAGCCTGATGACAGACAGACAGACGGCGGAGTGTTAGTAATAGGGCGAGACACTACCCTTTGGATACGGAACCCTAATAAACAGATCGCTGTATTCATCTCTTGCAGGAGTGTTATATACGTATACCTTATTGGGACTTGAATGTGACGTCGAAATCGCTAGTGCGTCACCAGCCTAACCAGACTCATTAACGGGGAGCCTCCGCAGCCACGGCACGGCGTTCGGATAATGGCTACGAACCGGTGCCCTATTTATTACAAATTGCGTTAGCTCCTACAGCTCGGGGTACAGTCGCGCCCGTATTGATTCCTGTAATCAGCGGATTGCACACTGTACCAGAGGTACAGCCGTGTGCGTATCCATTTAAAGGCTTTCGAGTATAACGTGGCACAAGAAGTACAGTCGCGCTGATAGATCGCGTATCGCCCTGATTGATGCGCCCGCCACCGCGGAAGCGAAGACCGATGACGGAAATTATATTTTTTTTGGCACAAAATTTATCTTTCTCGCTTGGGTATAAATCTCTTAAGCTTTCTTTTTGTTACTTCTTTAACATTTATTAAAATTGCCTCAACTGTAGAAGAACATGATCTGGAGGGTCGTGGACGGAAGTTTTATGGTAACGCGGTTGAGTAAATCAAGTTAAGATATGTTTATTCAGTAAAGAAACATTACACTTTGTTATTGAATATCAAAATATTACTACCGGTCCGGAACAGAAAACCAACTGACTTAAGAAGAACCGGCGAAAGAAACTCAGCAGGATTTCATTTTTACAATTTTTTGACAATGAAACATGTTTACAATACACTAAAGAGCCACTTGAAAGAGCCTGGAGCAATAAATACAATCACTAATATTAGAATAGCCTTAACACAAAATCGAATGATTTTTTTTTATCTGAGAAAGTGACAAACGAGCTGGCGGTTCACCTGATGTTAAGTGATAACCGCCGCTCATGGACATTTGCAACACCTGTAGGGTTACAGAAGCTTTGCCACCTCTTAATAATGTGGGCCCCGACTACCTCACTCACCAGACGATACGCAGAAGTGCAACACTTCTACTTTACGCCGGTCTTCTGTGAGATTACCCGGACGGACCTGCCCATTCGTGCAACACTATTGCGTGGAACAGTATTGCGTGGTCCTACCACAGTTAATAAGTTGATTACTGTGTCCCATGGATATTTCAAGCACCTGGAGGGTTACATATATGTTGCCGATCAGTGAGAAATGCTCACTGGTTACCTTACTCACCAGATTTGTCTCCTCACCAGAAGTACAATATTTCCACAACACACCGTTCTTCTGTATACTTTGGCGCTTTCCAGGTCGAACCAGCTTGTAAAGCAACAGTAGACCGTCAAGATTGGTGCCGGCACCAATGAAATTGTTAATTCTAATTTAACTGCCAACACAGCACTTGTTCAGCGCTGGACATCGTAAGGGAAATCTGCATATCTTCGAAATAATAATGAAAAATATTTTCGAAATATATCTTCACACAATATTGGGTTCGCGTCGTGGACTTTACGTTATCCCCGTACGGAATAGGCTATATATGGGACAGATTAAGGCTTGTATATACTTCAATAATTAAAAAAAAAATATGTATATATATATATATATATATAAATATATATGACCGCAGAGTTTCGTACCGGTTCTTCTCTTGCAGGTCTAGTTTAGTCAACCGGTGGTACTTTTTGACGTTCCATAGGAGCTTAAAATAAGCTTAAAATAAGCCTTGTTGAATAAAGAAATTTTGACTTTGATCTTCCTTTACTTTACAGATTAGTATACAACTGATATAATTAATTACACTACTTTTGTAATACACTATTAAATCATCTCGACGCATTACACAATATGAATTCCGCATTAAAATATTAAGGACGCTCATTTGACGTAATTCATTAGCTAATTGATTATTATTGAGCCGTAATTTTTACGGTATTACGGGCCGTTCGAATTAATAACATTTCATTATTCCCGATGGCGCGTTTCAGTGCTGTCTAAATTAAATTTTTCGCATAAATCAATAACGTTTTTGCATAGCTAATTTTTATGGTTTGTATTGTATTTTATCTCATTTGAATGATGCTGATGTACTTAGGTATTATGTCGACTAAACACTGAATAATGTAATGTATTAATGTACTGAATAAATTAGGAAACTAAACAAAACTAATGAAAATCATTTAATTACATTCAATGACCTGCCCTTTAGAGGATACTTGGTTCGATTCCCAAACGAGGGATTGATTTTTTTATGGGAAAAGGACAAACGAGCATGCGGGTCACCTGATGGTAAGCGACCACCGCCGCCCATGGACATTTGCAACATCGGTTGAGTCGCAATTGCGTTGCCGGCCTTTAAGGCAGGAGTAGGCTCTCATCTTCAAGGTCCCTAAGTCGTATCTGTCAGGAAATCTCGCTGACGACAACTACAAAACCAATATTCCTTTAATGTTACAATGGTCCTGGATCACCCCTACTACAAGACTAATAATATAATCCATAATAATATCATAATTTATCCTTCTTTTTCAAAAAGAAACATCACTTTCAAGTACGTATAAGAATATCCATCGTCATGTTAAAAAAAAATTGTTCTGCTTTTGCCGGCACTCAGCTCAGTGGCTTATCTCCGAACCGGTAGTAGTGCTTTTTGATAATCAATAAGAAAGCGTAATGCTTCTATATTGAATAAAGATATTTAAATTTGAATCATGTGGTGTTGGGTCGTTTTATTAGCACACAATGCATGCCAAACACGTAAAATCTGTAAGTACTTGTTCCGTGCGGGAATCAAATCCACGAGCAGAGACGATGAACCGAATGACTTAGCAACTATTATTTGGTATTGGGCGAGTACCTCGGCC